AGCGCAGTCTTTCTCGGCTCCGAGTCCCTTGGTACTCGAGACCTTACATCACTGTCTCAAATTTGAGACTTCCCTTTTCGTCGCCTCCTACGACTCGCAGGGTCACGGTGGAGGTATTCGAACCCGCCTCCACACGAGTCAGTTGTACTAACTTCAATAACTGTCTGATTATAATATCTCAGCACGGATCACACAGAAAACTCGGTTTCAACAACTCTTACCTTGTTGCGTCACGCAACTGTCCCAAGGATCGCTAGAGGACACTGTTTTTCAGTTATTTAATTGGCGTGTGTTAGGGATATGTTGCCTAGCAACGGGCGTTGTTTACAGAGACATTACTTAGCAACTGCTCTGCATGCTACAATTTTGTAGATGTATACTATGCACATTTAACACGTGCAATTGGTATAGGAATTATAACTATGGACTATGAAGGCATATTTACTCAAACTAACGAGAAGTCCGAACTATACTGAATGAATAAACAGACAGTATCACAGGAATTCGTTGTTCCCCGTTATCAGACCTAAAAAAATGAAATATATGTAAATTAATTAATATATACGTAACGCGGTCAAACGTAGTGGGGTACTACACAAGAAGAACAAAATGGATCTTTTATTAAATCAGCCTAAAGTCAATTTAGACTTTTGTTTTATAACCGTGACTGTATTTTTGATGTCCGTGGTTTATTGTTGATTATGGACGTCTGAATATCTATTCACCCATCTTGTTTAATTAGCTCGAAAATTGTAAGACGCAGGGAGAAATAGTGAAGGATATGAAATAAGTACTCTGCCTTTCTCTAAGACTTCAAAATATTTTTGTCTGTGATGAATATGCAGCGAGATACGCACGAAACGTCTGTACATCTTCATGCAAATCGTTCATTTAACATGTCGCATATGAGCGAAAATTTAAATTACTGAACAATATTTCGTAAAATTATCCAGTTTCAAATTTCACGAAAATCTGTCCAGTAGTTCTCAGGTTATTTTCTGCGTATAGACGGACGGAGTAGCCGAACGCAAAAGCCTCTCCGTCGGGTTGCGGACGTGTCTAAAAATCTATTTTCTGTGAGTGTGAAACACTAGGCGGGACTGACGAAACTGCAGTTCCTAGTCTCACCTGAATGTTTATCTAGTGGTGCCATCTAGTCACGGCCCGTCGCTACACTGATCTACTCCGGCTTCTGGTCTACACCTGGACGCTCCTGTGCGCGGACCGCATATAAAACGCCGTATTTTTATTGTTGAGTGTTTGTATGTTGCGGACGTTACCTGACAACGGTCGATGTTCACATATTCACTGCTTAGCAACGGGTCTATACGCCACAATACGTTGCGCTGAGCATTGTGCAAGAAAGCTTTCTTCGGTATCATTGTTTGTCTTGTTCATGTTACACTTCGGGCATGAGAAGCGGAGCAATGGCTTATAAAGTATTGCGTGACTGCATTAAGGCTCCATCTGATAAACTTAATATGATCTTTCGTTAGATACTGTACAGCAACTTGCAAACACATTTCTCTCCGCTTTTAAATGAGCCAGAGTAGGGTCTACTAGAAAGCGTTAAAATCCTCAGCAACTAAGTGGCTGTCACAAACCTCGGAGTCTTGAGTTCGCAAAGAGGTTACATGAAAGCTATGTTCTCTGAGTGGGCTATTCTCACAGTTTAACAAAACAAAAGAACATAAAGGGAATAAGAGTAGAAATTTAGCTTTAAAACTGATAGCTGCCGACCACAGTGGCCGCGCGATTTAAGGCATGAAACGTCTTAGCCCGCTCGAACGCCGGGGTCATAGTTTCGAACCCCACTCGAGGCTCGGATGTCTGTGTGCGTTTATTCTGTGTTTGTGTTGTTCTGTGTGTAGGTAGCGGCCTTGTGACGGGCTGATCACTCGTCCAAGGAGTCCTACCGGCCGTGTATAGGATTATGAGACCGAAAAGAGAACGGTCAAGGTCCAAATGGATGTAGAGACATAGAGAAATAAGAGGCTGACTTCAACTAAGATATAAGAATTATTTTTCAATTATAATCCAAATTTAAACTACAAAATTAATACAAATTCATACTATTAAAAAAATCTTTATATGGTTTAAGAATATTATAAGCCACCGTGACAATAAAAAGAATTTTGCAAAAATATTATTGAAAGAAATTAATTACACAAAAGAAATAAATTTACAAATGATATATTACATGAATCACGCATGGACGAAAAGGAAGTGCATATACGCTTTTCGTTGGAACCCCTCAAAAGTTAACGGGGAATAAAATTTATTAAGTTAAGCCCTTCACACCCCTAAAATTGAACCACCCGATGGTTTCCTTAACAACAGGGTAATGAGCTAAAAATATTTGTTGTGTTGAATACAACAGTGTGGCGTACAGACCCTTTGCTAAGCTGTGACCCTTTAACAGCAGCCGTTGCTACGTAACGTCAGTAAAATTCACGCAACAATAGAAGAACTCTGTTCTCTGTGGTCTGCGCCGCGGTAAACACATCTCTGTCTCAAACAGTTCATGCACAACAATGGAATACCTGTGTTTTCTGCGTGGTCGGTGCGTAGAAGTATACGCGAGACGAGGTTTGGTGCTTAGTCAGTTGAGAATCAGTTCTGTATGGGAATCTGTGAAGAGAAAACTTGAGACGGAGGCAAAGGAATAGTCATTGTTGGAGCCGTTATCAGGAAACGTCTAATAACAGACTGCGAACACTAGAGCGCGTGCTCTAGTGAACTATAAAATGTGAAAATAGTGATAATGTTATAGTTATTTGTAGTTACGGCCTGTAATTTTTAATAAATCTATTCACCAATCCAAACCCTGTCTGTAGTCACTCAAAAACGACACAATATGTTTATAACTTGTAGAATTAAATCCATCTATAACATACCTTGAAGTTAAGAGCTTTCGCTTCTCTACTTGAGCATTTTGAATAATGGATCAGGCTCAAATCTCTTCCGGCGCTACGCATTCAAAAGTTTGTATCATATCGAGAGCTGGGATTTAGTCACGTGTTCCCTTCCGGTAATCCAGGAATATCTGGGGCAGCACAGCACAGACAAACCACTACAAATTCCTCGTTCAGTTCACTTTCAGAAACATACAACTGTAAAAAAATTAAAAAGAAACAAGTAAATAAAACAAGAGGGGGAAACAAATAGAAGAGACAACAAAATATGTTGAAAATAAAGGTTGTGGAGAAGAAAGAATCAGTAAATTATACATAACCTCACAAGTTAAACTCGTGTTCGGGAGAACCGGCTTAAGCAGTAAGGATTCTTAGTTGCAATCGGAAGGTACCCGCTTCGAATTTTGTCCAGGACTCCAATTAATGTGACTGAGGTATTTCGTGGTCTTCTTCAGTTACAAAGAAGACCATGGACAGTACATCTATTTCCACATCTTTTTAGATCCTCTGCTCAATATCCCGAAGTCACTCGACGCTATAGTGTTTCTGACAGTGTCCTTAAATGAAATTAAATAAACATAAAAATAAAGGCTTTATCCGGTATTATTATGCGGTGTCTTCCCTGGATGCAACATGTAATCAATGGAATGGCTGTTGAGTTTTAAGTGAGACGCAACTACATTCATGCAGTGGGAATTTAAACAGGAACAACCATTTTGTTTTAGTCACAAAGCAAAATGGGGTCATGGTAAGTGAACAGCGGTTGTGTGTGGTGCCACACTAAAGCTGTCCTCTTGCGGTAACTCACACCTTCGCTCTTGAATAGTGATGACATATGCCTTTGTGTCTGTCACATATGACACATGTCACGTTTATGTGACAGGTACTTTATCGTAAACATAGGGTTTATTATCAGAAATAATTAAATAGGTTTAATTTCAAACATGAAACGGGTTGTAAGATTTGAGGTTTTCACGGCTGTGACTATGAAGAATACCGTCTTCTGTGTTGTGGCGCCTTGTAGATTATGTGGACCGACGTTTCGGAAGAACGTATCGCCTACATCTTCATTGTATAAAAATCCGTGAGCAGGGAATCAGCCACCTGCTCACGCTGATTCCCTGCTCACGGATTTTTATACAATGAAGATGTAGGCGATACGTTCTTCCGAAACGTCGGTCCACATAATTTACACGGCACCACATCCCAGAAGACGGCATTCTTCAGGAAACTGGTTGGTTTGATGGTAAATAATCTCAACTTGTACTCTCTAAGTGCTTCATTCGAATCTCAGCTGACATACCGGCTGTTCTCACTGAACTACTTCATAGTTTTCCTCAGTTCCTCCATGAAAATGCCAGGGTATTTTGTCGGTTATGACACTTCCCTTTCCTTCAAAACTATTTTCAATTCATTATTCACCAATCGTACTATTAATCGACACTGTAGGCCAGACGTCGACAGCGTCATAAAATAAACAACAAAAGACTAAGATAGCTACTTCACTAAATGCCTTTTTCAGGGTAGAATTTCATCTTTGGTAATAATGACACAAAAGTGATGCATGTACAGTTTTCTGACGAAGGAACACGGGGTTAGGAAATTCAGGTTCTCATGATAGTGATTATGCAGAATTATATTTTCTAGGATGGGACGCCGTCCAGTCTGATGATACTTTACCGATAGAAGATCAAACCAACGAAGCAACCCGCACGAGACAAGCAGCAACGCTGTTAAATTCTTACTGGTTACTTGGTTTAATCTTCGATCCTGAAGATGGAGGCAATACGATCTTCAGAAACGTTGAAATCTTCTACTAGACTATACGGGATCACGTCCCGGAAGGTATTACCCTTCGTACAAGAGGTTAAAATACCCAAGGTTTGCGATACTCTGATTAATAGTGGGGATATCAAGTTTATTCAACCACACTTATGAATATAAGTTGTGATAGATTTAATTGTGATTAATATTATCATAACATATCTTGTTAATTGCATTACACTCCGACTGTATTATTGGTCCCCGTTGAACCGAAAACCAAACTCACGTTTTAATCTTGAATTATTTTTCTTCTCATACAAAAAAGTTAAATCACTGCTATTGCCACTTCAGAGGTCAATATGTCCCTCTCTTGACTTCCTCCAGTTACAATCACATTATAAAAACTTTTATTTGTTCCACACTCACAATTCTATTAACAGGGTGAATATCATCAGCTGGCTCATATCTTCAGAGTTTTTAAATTTTGTTTTAAGGCTCTGAACATTCCAATTTTCATACTGCGATCTCATGGTCTTCCACTACACGTTTTGTGACATGTGGGAATCGAATAGTGCCTTAAGGATTATGCCTAAATATTGATTCAGTATATTCCTTCGAAAAGTTTGTACCTAACTACCAGACCATAGAACGAGGAAATGCTATTCTTGCATAGTTTGTGTAACATAAATTCCCAGCACAAGTTAATAAATCTAAAATAATATTAAAAACTGATTCAGAATTAAAATTATATCAATCATTTATGGATATCCTGTACGTACTACATACGTATGTAGTCATATTGTAGCGGGAACTGAGGGCGGTGGGATAGCGTCGGCTGGCCTGCGCGCGCCTCTTGTCCTATCGGAAAATCAAGAACCCTCTTTTGGAATTTTCGGGAAACCGATCACATAACGAGGAAACTCGAATTCGTCAGCGAACATCCTCGAAACTTCTCTGCAAGTGCCGTGAGGAGGTTAGTAGGCCAGTATTCAGTTCGGTGCGGAGCAGAAGAGATGAACGGAATTCGGAGGGAGCGAGTGCAATGCGGTGACTGTGACTTTACTGTGAACACGAAACTTTATGTCACGCGCATGCGTCGGTACGGGTTGTGGGAGGGTAACTGCCCCAAATGTCGATAACTGTAACTATATTTTTTTTATTTATAGATCTATCATTATATGGTAAAATAGAGCACTGAAGTGGACCGTGTCAAATTTGATATGTTAAATACCAGAGACATGTCTGCGACCAATTGGATTCCTTTACTTATATGTGAAAAATAATTACAAAATAATATGATATGAAGGGTAATCACAATTATTTCAAACAAATAATTTATGGATATTAAGACTTAGCCTTGTCAAATAGAATTAGTAATTTTATCTACGTTCACTTATATGGAAAATAGGTGAAAATTAAGTCACTTTTTCAAATGAATTAATTAAGCAATTTGAAGACACAACTACATCGTTAAGCTAATATCTTAATAATTTTATAAATTTATCGTGAAAGTCTATATAATAAAATGAAGAAAAAATACAAAACTACGTAATTTAATTTTCCTCTCGTAAGAAACACCAGAAAGCGCTGGTTAGGCTATAGAACACATGCGAGGATCTTCAAAATAATAAATATTGGTCACATGACAAGTATAAAATGTTTCGTTACTATTTTAATTATGATTCTAAGCGGAATATACGTGTGAGGTACTCGATGTTCTATACTCATAGGACTACATTGGGTACCTCTCCTGAGAGAAGTGTTCAGACATCTCAATTTTCCAGAGTGGAAAAAGTTTTAAGTTGTCAAACCGCATACTAAGATTTGGTCCTCAGAAACGTTTTTATTAGCTACTTCTGATATAATACTGAAGCAAGATGCCGACAAGTTTACTGTTTAACCCATTAACTGTCTCACTGTTCAGAATCATTGCGGATAATCTACCTTATTTCAAAATTCACAACAATTATTGTAATAAAATACAAGTTTCTGGACTTTATAAATAATAAAGCTACTTTCATTATTAAAGCCCTTATACTGCACAAATTTTCTTACCATTTCAGAGCCTTAAAACTGAATCAAAACGGATTTCTCTTGATTCGTGTAAAACTTCCTTTAATGTCATAATAACATGTCACGTTTCTGCTGATGCGGGACGACAGTTCATTCTTCATGGCCTTCTGTTCTCTTCGTTGTGATACTTCCTGTTGCCATGGTTACCGCTCTCGCCTCAGCATCTGACCCGCAGAAGTCACCCAGCGCTCAGCAGGTGATGAGGTCATTGGATCATTCTGAGGGCCTTGCTCCGAATTATCCTGATTAGGTTGGCCTGGCGGTGCCGCTGGATGCGGTGTTCCAGGGGCAACATCTTTGGATGTCGTTGCAGATGACTCCTGAAAAAAGGAGTGCAACAATACAATATCAGTAATTGAGTGGCAATCATTTTCAATAACATAAGCATATTTTTTTATTGCTAGTGGGGTGGGACTAAGTCCCTTGTACTGCGGCCACTTCTGGACTATTGTACCAGCCCCAGACGATGGATGAGGGTGATTGTGGAGCAATTGGTGGAATGAAGATTTGCAGGGGAAACCGAAGTACTCGGAGAAAACCAGCCCCAGCGCCACTTTGTCCACCACAAATCCCACTTGACCAGACCCGGGATCGAACCCGGGCCGCCGCGGTGGGAAGCCAGCGACTAAGCTCTTGAGCTATGGCGCAGCCCAACATAAGAATAAGGGTACTCTGTAAACAAAACAGCGATTAATATTTGGACCCGCGTTATCTTTAGTAAACAATGCAGTGATAGTAGTTTAACGCTTGTCTTTATTAAAAAGTTAAAGGTAAAGGCAAAGTTGTCCCTGTGTTTAACTAATTAAGCACTATGCCTGAAGGCGTATGGTGGAGTGGATGTATAGATCCATATTTTCTTGACCTCGGCGCTAGTTCGAAATGAGTGGTCAGATTCGCGCCTATGCCGCTTTACCCCCGGAGAAAGGGTCCCAGTACCTATTGTATAGAGGATGGGTTGGTTCCAGAGCCAGCCTGGACGACGTGAAGATAAAATTCTCAACGCCAACAGTACTCGAGCTCCGATCCCTCAGTCGCTATCCTTGCTCCCTATCCCTGTCTTCAGTAAACAAAACTAATAACATTATAACGTCTGTAATCTCCATTAAGTAAAACTAACATTATTCTAATATATACAGTAGAACTTGGTTATAATGTCATCAAAGGGACCTAAAAATAGTGTCGTTATAAACGAATGTCGTTGTAACCGAAATGGGCACTTCCACAGTAGCCTTATGTTAGTCACGTAAAAATCTACCAAAAACCGAGTTAAAATGTTGCATTTTTTAGTGAAATACATAGTTAAGTACAGACTAACGTAACATTAACGTGGAATTGCCCAAATGTGTAATATCAAAGACATATTACAGCGCTTTTCACTGACAATACACACCGCACTAATACTGTATATTAAAGGTAGGCCTACTCACCAAATTACAGTAGATTACATCAATTGTTGTGCCTTACTGTACCTAGATACGAGTACAGTAATCAGTTATCTTCATCTGTTTCCTGTTACTTGCCCAATACACACTTTCTAAATTACGTTCAATGTCCATATCAGAGAAATTCAGGAATGAAAATGACGTTACATACGAGGTTGATGCATTTGTGCATGTCGTACTAAGCAAGGTATAAAAACAGTTGCTTTATGAGGAATTAGTTCGTACCATTGAATATTTGACGCAATAGACAAGGTGTCGCAGAAACCGATGTTGCTATAACCAAGTTTTACTCTCTATATAATGTTAGGTAAAAAGAACATTATTGCAAACTTTGATCACTTTATGTAAACAAAACTGCAAATTGGATGTGAGTGGCGAGTCAGTGCACAGAACAGTGAGACCGTTCAGATGCGTAGCGAGTTCAGTAAACAAAACTGTGATCGTATTCCAGTGCCTGCCATGTTCTTCTGTACACAGAGCACTGATCGAATTTGAAAGCGTATCGATTTCAATAAGCAAAACAAATTTTAGCAGTTCAGCGTTTGTAATGTTCAGTAAACAATACATGCATATGCACCAACAGGTGTTCAGGACTGACTGCATCTTACTCTGTTCCGTTTACAGCGTTCAGGTTAAGATTGGCAGCATTTACGAATAGATACGGAGTTCTAGTTTCCGCTGAGAATACTTTAATTTTCTCGACATAACTGTGCCTAACTTCCGGACAGAGAGCCTTCCCTTCTCAGTTGGCACGTAGTTTTCCTTCTTATTAACGTGTACAATTCAGATAACACGCGAAGTGTCGTTTATTATCATCTTAATGTCGCATCACAAAACTGACAAGGGCTTTGTTATCTGCAGATATGTCACTAGCAGACCGACGTACTTAAATTAAGCTGTCTACAAAATTGTTAAGTTAATCATAGGGTTCTGAAAACAGGAACGAAAGATAAATAAACAAAGACGGAATAAGGAAATGAGGAGCAGAAGGCATGAAGCAGAAAATGAAGGAAAGGAAAATTAAACTAACTTACGGTATTCTAATATTCGATGCCGTACATTTTGGTAGACGAGTAACAAATTGACGAAGGCGCCTTTTGTCATCGAATTTAGGGTAGATAAATCTATCCAAGAAGACCTTAATATTAACATTAACCTCCGTAAAAACACCGGAAATTTAAAGAAAGGAAGAGACACGAACAAGAAAGAAACAAAAGAGAAATGAGGGAAGATGAAATCAAAGATCACAGTTCGTAATTTTGACTATGTTAATAAAATATTTTCTTCTATTTGGATCATTTTGCCACCAAATAACATGCAATTCACAGTGGGTTCTGGGGTTNTACATCATCAAGAAAGACTTTACTGGCGAGTGCAAGTAGGAAATTACAGGGCTGGACTAGAAAGTAGGCGGTTATTTCTTCCCAGAACTTGTTTTATTTAATGCCAAACTTTCAGCTGTCCATCTATATAAGGCTGAATGTTAAGTTGGTCACTCAAAAATGACAGAGAATTGAAGGAAATAGTCCTATTCTATTTTGAGATATTCTTTGGATATTTGTCTGGAGAGACTGAAGAAAAACAGGAGGATGCTTTATTGGGGTAACAGGCTTCCAGTCCAAGATTTTGACCCTTGGGTCTCCGAATAGGAACAAGGACAACTAGTCACTGAACCACACTTTCCGTGATTCCCATAACAGTTGATGGGACAGCTGTATCGCTATATTTACTGCACTGAAACATGTGCTGCACGAAATTAGCTTGCCTTCAGACTGCTCGGAACATGCAATTACATTAAAATCATCTCATAACTAGGCGTAGAATGATTATGTAGTATTACAGAAAATCAATATGACAGCTTGAAAAATAGATGCCAATCAAAACAGGAGGGAAGAATTTGGAAAAGAGAGTTGTCAGAGAACCTTGACTCTTTTTCAAACAAGTTACCGGCTTCACTGTTTGCAGTACAAACCTGTTCCGGTTCATTTTCTTCATTTCAGTGGAAACGTCTTCAGCCGAATGGAAGTGTTATAGTTAAATATTAAGGAAGAAGGGAAAAGTGTACGTGAAATCATAAATAAGAATTGTAGTTAGATAAAAAGCTACACAGGAAAGGACACAAAAAGTTTGAATTGAACGGAAAAGAAGAAGAAGAAAGAAAAATAAATGGCAAAGGATGTAGCGCTCCTAGTGGTAGATAAATCAGGTTAAGTGCTTCGTGGCCCCTTAGGGTACAGGACAGATAAACAAGGCGAGAAAATGCCCGGCATAGCTCTGCAGTGCAAGACAAATAGCGACAAGAGCACAAAGAGGAGGAAGAGAGATGAAGAGATGGCAGTAACAAGCGGGAAAGAGCAAGGAGCACGTGTGCAGCAACTCAAGCCTTGCGTGTTCTGCCGACAACACCAGGAATCGAGAGCCTACATTCTGGAATTTGTGATGCAGAGAAACTTAGCGTTGCATGTTCAGACTTCCATTGGCTTTCAAGGAAATTCGCTGTGGTCGGTGGGTCGGTTAGAGGGCCAGGTCATCGGAGAGTGACCCAACCAGTCAGTCGGACAGATATCGCTCCAGTGGGATAGTGACCAAGGTAGTCGGGCAGAAACCAAACCAGACAGACGGAAACCAAGCCAGTGAGACAGAAATCAAGCTATCCAGACAGAAACTAAACCAGTAGAACGTAATCAAGTCAGCCAGATGAAAAGCAGGTCAATCGGACAGACACCAAGCCAGACAGAAACCAAACCGGTCAGACAGAAACCAAGCCAATGGGACAGAAATTAAGCCAATCAGACGAAAACCAAACAGTCGGTTAGATACCAAGCCAGTAAAGCAGAAACCAAGCGAGATGAAAATCACAGTCAAACAAAAGCAAAAAGACAGGAACCAGCCAGACAGAAACTAAGCCAGTCATAAAGTTACTAAGCTAAACATTTAATGATCCAGTCAGACAACAGAGATTCAGTCAGACATCGGACCTAACCAGCCAGTGAGCCAACATTGTCAAGAAGTTGGTCAATCGAGCAATCACTTGATCATTCCTTCATTCTTTCAATTAGTCAGCCACTCCGACATTCAGTCATTATATTAGTTCTACAATAAGTAAAATCCCTTACTAATATAAATCAAGTGACAACAATTCAGTAGGCAGGCAGAGACACGTGAAGCAATGGAATGAGTTCAAACATTCGAAATCGAAATCTTAATCTTTATTTCTCAAATCCTTCGCGTTGTTTTAGTGACACCGAGAATTAATTAATATTGAATATTAACTGTGAATTATCGGTACTTAGTGGGCTTCAACACCAAAACTTAGAAAGATAAAGGCTCAGAAGTCTCAGAATTTGAAAATACGAAGTCAATAATCAAAGACAGGAAGAAATAAAAAGAGATGAAACAGAACACGGAAAAATGTGTTTTTCTTTTTAAGATGTGACAACCCTGTTGTTATACACTCGACCGTTTCGTTTCAGCTTATGTTTGTTGACACAGAGCGCAATATCGCTTAATTCCTCTCTGACGAAGTTGCGCCGGGGAGAGCCCCTGTTGTCTGAGGGAGCAGTTCGGACCCCCTATGTTTGTCTTCCATAAAATTAAACGTCGGTCTTTGTTTGGAGTGGAGGACCAAGTTCATTTCTGCTACAAGGAAACTCTTGGGACTGAAAGGAGGGACGAAAAGCGCGCTGCAAGTCTGCACACGACAAAGTGAACAACTGAACAACAAATTAAATCCTCGACTGAAGAAGCAGACTAGCTGCCGGTAACGGTTCAGACTCGCATTCGACAGATATCTGTTCGACTCTCGGTCGGATGCCGGGGAAAGTCATATTATAGTACCTTAAAATATGCCACGGTCACTTCCTTGCAAATCACCGTTA